GTTCACTCGGCTCATCGCCAGCGAAAATCGCTTGGGTATGAACACAAAAGACGCGTCGAAAAATGTCGGCGATAAGCGTACGCGATAATCGTCCCGGTGAGTACGAGGCTTAATATGCTGATTTGCTGCTCAAGAAACATAATTATTTGCAATGTTGTTGTTCTTAATATTTTTGTGGAAACTAATACATTTTTTTCAGGATTCTTTGATACAGAGTTCAAAAGAACAGAATTTATTTTAAATATAAATCTTTCGTAACATTATAAATGTCTTTAATGTCACTTTAGATCACTTGCATCCTTGTTCAATAAAAATATAAATTTTCTTAATAAAAAAAATAAAAAAAACCTTCTGACCCCAAACTTCTGAATGGTAGTGTATGAACGTAATGAGACAGGTATCCAGATATGGTTGACAGATCTTTAATTTCTCACTAAGTTCAAACTTTCATCTGTACCTTTGCCAACCCTTTAGAAAACCAGCTAGATCCCAACATAATATTCAACCACTGCGGCAGCATCAAATCCATCCCATGCGCAACTTCATGAGCAGGATCAGACTGGAGGAGACAACCTGCCTTTGAAACTGATCTTCAGCCTATCGCAGTTAAAGATTACGGTCCATGTTTCCAGCGGTTCCAATGTTCACACAGACGGACAGAAGCCCAATAAACTCCAGCGAAAGCAGTGATTTAACATCTACAAGGCTGAGTTACATGTGCCAGCATGAAGCGGGGAAAAAGTCTGGCATTTCAGACGCTTAATGGCGACTTCAAAGCTGCAGCGGAGCAACTTTATGTGAGCTCTCATATTTAAGTGACCAGATAGAGTGACAGGCCTCGCTATGTTCAAACCTCTCATAAACCTTTAACATCTATTAGCTCCTCCGACTCAGTGAACTGTGGTGCGCTTTCGTTCTTACCAAATCCTTGGCGTCCTGAAGAGAGTCTTCCGCCTCAGAGAAACTGAAACCAGCCACAGTGATGAACTGACTCACAACAGACACAAACTTATCGCCGTAGGTCTGAGGCTGACTCTTCTGGTACTCCAGCTCCTGTTGAGAGAGAGACAGAATTAAATAATAAATATTAAATAGGAAAAAGTGCATTTAATTCAGAGGAATCTCAAATCTCAAGCACTCAAGAAAACACCTTAGAAACCTAGCAAGGCTTTCAAACTTCAAATCTCAAAGTTCTTTCTAGTTTTCATGTGTTGTAACCATAAATAATGTTTTAGCCAATGATACTATTGTATAAATAGATACATTTGCTACACTGGATGACCTCATAAGCTGTAGAGCTTGTTGTAATTGTAGACAAAATAAGAGAATGTCGCTTACCGTCTCCATGCTTTTTAGGCCAGTGCGCAGATTGTTAATGTCTTTCTCCAGTTCAGTCATGCTGGGAAAAAAGGAAGAAAAATAAGTTGGAGAGAGAGATAATGAGAGATAATGTTTCACTGGACAATTTGCAGACCCTTTAATCTCATTTCGAATGGCTGGGGAATGAATCACATCAAACAGTATCTTCACACAGTGACTATGGTTTTGCCAAATAGGACATGTTCCTGGATCAACAACTTTTGTTGGTGCTGGAACAACTAACCCCATCCCAAACTATAAACTACCCCTAAAATGAGAGCGACATGATAGGCTGAAACTGTTCAGGCTCTCAGCACTAACCTTATGCCTAACATCTGGTTGTTAAAGGAATATTCCAGGGTTCAATACAAAGTTCTGTTGAAAAGTTGGGTGTTAAGTAAACCTTTTTTTTTTTAAAAAGGCGTATTTTATGCTCACAGAGGTATATTTATATGAACAAAAATAGAAACGGCAATATTGGGAAAAATTTGAATAAGCTTTTTGTTTTAATACATTTTAATTGTAATTTATTCCTGTGATGCAAAACTGAATTTCTTCAGCGTCACATGAGCTTTCAGAAATCATTCAAACATGCTGACTTGCTGCTCAAGAAACATTTCTCAAAATCAATATTTTTGTGAAAACTGAGACACATTTTTTACAGGATCCTAACATTATAAATACTTTACTGACACTTTATCAATTGAATGCGCCCTTGCTGAACAAAAGTATTAATTTCTTTAAAAAAAACAAAAACAAGTTGAAGCATTTGTGGTATAACACTGATTACCACAAAAATAATTACTCATCCCATGAATAGAAGCAGAAATGTGAAGCCTATGATTTTTATAAAAGCAATTACATTAATTCTTCTCTTAAAACCTGTGTATTATTTGAGCTTTGAAGCTGTTTAAATCATCTTTTTACTGTCGGTTTTGGGTTTAAGGCATTCCATTGTCACTACAAATAGGATACAGCTTTATACAGAAAAGGTCAGTAAGTGAGTTTTTCAAACTAAAATTATGCTAATATTGCATTGTTTGTCACTTGTTGCTGTACTGTCGATACAGTGAGTATTTTAACATTTACAGATGGGCCCTTTTCACTTCCATTTTAAGTGCTTTACTATTTTAGCCAAAATTTTGTTTTGTTTAAAGGGACAAGTGGAAATAAATGTTTGTGCTAATCAACATTATGCCACAAAGTTCTGTCGATTAGGCTTAACTTATACTAAACCCAGTGTTGTTCGTACATTATCTGTCTATTACATACACTCTTTTTGGAGACACAGAAACTCTTAAGTGGGTGTAATAGTGAGACTTGATCATTTTAGGTGCGTACTTGACTTTGGCTGCTTCTGGCACGTTGTGCAGATCCTCATGAATCAGGCTGACTTTAGGGTACTTCTGCTCAAGAATGGTAATCAGGTAGTGCAGCAGAGTGACGTTCCTATTGAGAAACACACAGCTTGTGTAACTGCATGGCTGGTAGGCCTTTAATATACAGTACTCGCACAAACTGAAGCCCTGTCTTACTTTTCGATGCTGGACTTGGTGTCAGCGATCTTGTTGAGAGAGGACACTTTGAAGCCATAAGCATTGCCCCTTTGGCCTTTGTTCATGTAGTTACCGAAGGCCAGCACCACCTCCAGAATCTGTCGAAGATTCTTGCTCTGAAGAACCTCCTTAGAGGCTCTACTGAGAGCTGAGGGAGAAAAACAGCATTTTTAATATTACACCTACACATTGCATTAACCTGCATGGTGTGTATATGCTTAATTTCACACAAGTCTAGTAGAGAACAGAACTGTATAAGAATTTACCTTCCACTTTCGGCTTGATTTCTGCTATTCTTTCTGCAAACTTCTTTTTGAAGTAAAGAGACTGCAGTCTTTGCTGGTAGTGGTCGATTCTGTGGTTTAAAAGCAGAATTGAAATAAAACACCATCAATTGTATGATAATATCTCATTTACATTTCCAGACGAAAGTTTGGATACAGCTGAATTTAAGCTTCTTATGATCTTAAACCTAAAGGTTTCTGCTTAAATGAAATTTGTTTTGGTGGCAATTACAAATGGTCTAAATTCAAATTTCTAGTGCTAACGTTTTGATTCATTTAACAATAACATTTGCATTATTTTAATGACTTTCATATTAAAATTGAATATAGTAAAAAGTGGAATACAGTAAAAATATTATATATAGTAAAAATATATAAAGAGGAATATAGTAAAAATGTGTCCAAAGAAAACCTCTTGATCTAAAGGCTTCTGCTTAAATGTTTGAAATAAATTTTGCTGACAATTATAGTGTATACATTTGAATTGCTCCTGCTAAATTGATCAACTATAAGTTCAATAAACATTATTATTTATGTTATTTCTTAGTTTTGACGACTGTACTTTTATTGTAAAATGTGGAAAATAGTCAAAATAAAAAATAAATATGTCCAAACAATTGACTGGTAGTTGATATCAAATAATATTTCATATAAAATATAAAGCATGCTAAAGTAGAATAAATAATAAATACTGAAAGAAAACTAACAAGGGGTGTACCCATAATGCATTGCTAGAAAACATCTGAACATCTGTGGTTTTTCATTGTTCTGTTAAAGCATGCCTGTTCGTGAGAGACGGGTCCCGTTTGCCGTATTAAAATAATAATTAAAAATAGTCCAATAACACCTACAACTTGTTTATTTTTTTTTAATAAATGGAGCCGCCCATTCTTCGTGGCTTTTAAATTTATGTCCTTGTGGGCTGACATTCTACAGAGATTAATGACGATGCACAATGAAGAGGTCAAAATATGACGACATGTTTCCAGACCTGTTTCAGCCAATTTCAGACTTTATGCCAAACTGAAGAAAACCACATTTGGTAACTGAAGTCAAAGATTATTATAGCGTGAAACTAAACAGACCAAGATAAGAACGTCATCCTGTAAAAGAGTTTATTTTCCACATACTGACCTCTACACCACCTTTAGCTTTGTGCGGAAACACCATTTAGTAGATACTGTGTGTTTTGATGGCTCTGTCCAGTCTGATGAAAGTTATCTCTATTTATTATATCCCAAACAAAGTGGCTTTTCATGACCTAAATTGATGGTTACCTGCTCATCTCATGAAGGAAGCGATCTGCCTTCGCCATCCGCTCCAACTCATGTTTGTGTTCCTCCAGAAGGTCCACGTCACTTTTTTCTGGCACGAACTTCAACAGCTGCAGGGGAAGAAAGCAAGCATACTAATGACTAAATTGGGCCAACCAATCAGAAATCATTTTGAAAGAAAAGTCTTAAAGGTACAGTACCAAAAACAGCCTGTTTGTTCATAAAATAAAATTAGAGAATAAAAAAAAGATATCCTGAGCCTTTTAAGTGATTTGAATGCAATGTGGCCCTATTAATGGAATACACATCCTCGTCACACTACAATAACTGTTTGATTAAACTGTTTGATACTGTTAAGATTAAAACAACAGCAATCAGAGGAGTTATAAAACCTGATTGCCATTATATTGCTTTTCAAGTCCATTTGGAAAATGTTACAAACATTTACATGCTGCTCTTATTTGGTGATTTGCTTTAAAGTTTAAACAGGGCGAGGTATACAAAGCTGCATTTTATTACCAATATAGCTACATTGCTAGATCAGGTTTTAATTAAACTACAAAAAGCCACAATAATGTGCTTCACAACTGACTTTACTCAGGCACGTGAAAAGCTGGTACAATATTAAAAGGCTTTGGTATGTTTTATAGTTTTACAAACTACAGCAAATTTCACCATCAGACAGAATGACAAAAATGCAAGGATGATATGGTGTCTTGCCAAAATTGCTTCTGCAAAACAATAATTGCATGCTGGCTTGGACTGTCAGGCTTATGTAATTAAACTTGCAGCCTGTGCAGACGCTGTATCAGCTAATCACAGTTCTGAAATGTTTGACGTCAATCCACTGCAGTAAAACAGGTTTGTTTTGTACATGAGCCACCTGGAGTTATGAGTTAAAGTGTGAGCTAAGTGATGGAGTATGTGGTGATGCATCTCACCTGCTCCAGCATATCCTTAGGTAGGTCTTCCTGCTCATCCATGGTCAGTATGGCTCTCTTGATCTCCTCGTTGGAGAGTTTTAACCTGCAAAAAGAACATTTGAGCAAATCAGTGCATGTGGCACTCCTCATTTTTGAGTGACCCATACAAAGAAATAATCTGGTCATATTTCCATATCGTTTTTCTTTTGAATTTGGGGGGATATGACAGTTTCCTTGAGATTGGCCATTATGGCATCTAATACTTCACCAAAAAACAAACAAAACAACACCACACACACGCAAAAAGATTTTAAAAAATCCTTCATGACTATGTTCATAGAAAAGGGCCAGTTTATGACAGACAGACAGAGACAGACAGACAGACAGACAGATAGACAGATAGACAGATAGAAATAATCCTAAATAAATAAATAAATAAAACAAAATAAATATATGAGGCCAAACAAATAAAAGAAATAAATAAAAAAGGCCAAACAAATAAAATAAATAAATAAATACACCAAAATAAACAAACAAATTAATTAATAAACCAAATAAATAAAAACAAATAAAATAATACATAATAAACCAAAATAAATAAATAAATACAGTATGCACAAAAAACAATGTTCTGAAATAACTGAACTAATGTTTCTAGGTGCAGTAAATGTTTAAAATTGCTAAATTCCAGGCTTTATTAACAGCTGTACATTTTAATCAAACACATAAAGTGGGCTTATGGGAGAGATCACCGGCATCTCTGTTTATTGCCGCTGCTATGGCGACTTGTGACGCAACAGAAAAAAATCCTGGCTAGGATCATTTTATGAATAAAACGCTTGGCTGCAATTGTGTTTTAAACACATCGTCAACCGTCAACAAAATGGCTTAAGTAAACAAAGAATTGTTCTATAGTGAGTCATGCAGGAAGGTGTATTACTGTGAATGAATCTTAAATGGTCAAAGATGGTGGCTGTGGGTTTCTAATTTACAGACTCACTTGGAAAGAAGAATGTTGCAGTTTTGTGCACGCCGTCCATCGATGACAGACAATTCTCTGACCTTTTTAGAAGTGACGGTGTCATCCTCTGATTCTTTCTGTAAAGAATGGAATGCACTGAAGGTCAATATCACACTGAAATGAAGAGTAAAATACTGAGAGAGCAAGCTAGTGATGATTTCACACTTGAGGATTTTAGTGCGAATCGGTAAAAAAAGTTTGAGTGCTTGTCAGGTGTGACACTTAGAGACTAAAACGTTTGCAAACATAGCGTGGTTCAGTACACCATAATAGTCTAAAAGCAGAACCATAGTGATTAGAAACAATCAAATGCAGGTTTGGACTCCAGCAAAAACACAGAATGCGAAAACAACAAGAAACCTGCCGTCTCAAAAGTAAAAGCCAAACAGAGTAATTTTTCAAACACAGGACAACATGCTCATGACACAACCAGACATCCACAACAACAGAGGCTGAAAACAGTCATCTCTTCCTCTTTAGTGCCAGCTGGGGAGCAGACAGCAAGAAATTGCGTGTTTAGACGATGGCACGTCGGGTTTTATTTGGAGGAGGAAGAGGGTGAAAGGGAATGTGTCCAAGAACAGGGGGATATTTGTTTTTTAGTTGGTGGAAATCTGTCTCCTTCGCTGTTGCATAAACTCCAGATGCATGCAAAACCAACTGCATGCCTCATAACCAACTTGGCTAATTACAAACAGAGACATCTTGAAATGTTGGCTAATAAACTGAAATAGGTCTTTTGGTTCATTGCGTTTTAAGCTATGCTACAAAAAGGCAACAATTTGGTGATTGTCTGCATAAAGAATGCACTGAACATTACATGAAAAGTACTATGCAATAGATGGTACTTTGATACCAAATTACCTACTGATTACAATATTTATATATGGTATTTGGGTAAATCTCACAAAAATGCAAGAAAACGTCATATTTCATTTCAAAACCAAAATAAGAAATTATATTTTGAAAGAATAGAACATATCTAAAACTAATTAAGATTTTTTTTTTATCATTGTGACATTTTTAATGACATTTAAGCACAAAACTGAAATAGGTCTTTTGGTTCATTGCGTTTTAAGCTATGCTACAAAAAGGCAACAATTTGGTGATTGTCTGCATAAAGAATGCACTGAACATTACATGAAAAGTACTATGCAATAGATGGTACTTTGATACCAAATTACCTACTGATTACAATATTTATATATGGTATTTGGGTAAATCTCACAAAAATGCAAGAAAACGTCATATTTCATTTCAAAACCAAAATAAGAAATTATATTTTGAAAGAATAGAACATATCTAAAACTAATTAAGATTTTTTTTTATCATTGTGACATTTTTAATGACATTTAAGCACAGACAGTTTAATGCAAAAACTCATTTTAATATATCAAATATGATTTTAATATGATTTTAATGGTGATTTTGGGGTGAAATATGACCAGAAAATGTATTTGTAAGATTCAACCATTCATATGTCACTACAACAAAGTACTTCAAAGAATACCATGTAGCTACATGTCCGAAAAGCATGGCATTACCATGGTATCATCACCAAACTAAAGAGTCAGGTCCGAAGACCACTTACCTGTCTAAAGATATTCAACAGGGAGTCCTTTATGGCAAGCGAGAAGCAGGAAAGTGTTAGTTAGATCAGGAAATATATAAAAGGGCAGGAGTAAACATCATGCAGAAAAAAAGGGTGATACAATACAGAGGGATGGACAGAAACTGCCTGACACTGCAGTATTTCTCATAGAATGCATTTGGAACAATGTGTGAGACGTTTATAATAAAGGAGCAGACGTGTAAGGATTCTCATCATTCCTTTATGTCACTGATGAGTTACCTGCTGTCTCTGGTAAGCAGAGAATGTTTTCTCAATCTCCTCCAAGTCCAATTGTTTGAAAACTTTGAGGTCGTCTAGGTCCAGCCACACAGTCCCTTCCAGTTTATTCTGCAATACAGAGATGGATTTTTAATTAATTAATTAATTATAATTAAATAGTTTAATTACAATTAATAAGAAGAATAAAAAAAAGATATAAATAAACTCACACACACTGCAGTGTCGTAATATTAAACTATTCTTTTTTTAATAGATTGTTTCAATCAATTGTTTCGATTCAAACTTTGTGCAAGTAGGTCTTTAGCAATAAACTTTATGTACTCACTTCACTGAGTTTGGTCCAGTTGAAAGACTTGAGCGGATTGGACGGCTGAGGGATGTTCTTTTTCTTAAGCGTGGAGCCCAGAAGTCCTCCAGGGAGAGGAGGAGCACCAAAGCCGGGCAGGCCTGGTGGAGGTGGTGGTCCGCCGGGGGGAGGGGGTGGTGGCGGCGGTGCTCCACCTGGAGGTGGTGGAGGAGGAATGCCAGCCAGACCAGGTGGTGGAGGTGGAATGCTACCAGGGGCCAATGGGACGAGTGGGGGGCCTCCTGGGATATTTGTCCTCTGAAAATACAAGACACAATAGGATTGTGAAGCAAAAGTGTTGAGAGGCTTTGAATATGAAGAAAAACAATGCAAAACCACATTTCGGTCTGATCTAAAACCCTGTTGACAATGCATTTTTAGGCCCAGTTGAGAAAGCTTTCCCAAACTCTAGTCTAGACACTAGGCTGTTTCAGTTATGCTGCCACAAACAAACAAGTACTACTGGAACTACCATGATTATTCTGGATATGATATATATCCAAATATGCAACTATTTGGATATGATATATATACTGTATATATATGCAACTATATTTTATTCAGAACCAAAATGTATGAAAAAAATAATTAGAAATCAACTATTTCACACCAATTTAAAAGAAGTAAACCATCCTATAGTGGTTTTCTGGTCTTAGTTGGTTTAAGATGGCCTGACCTCCCAAACTGGCCAAGATAGGGTTCAGCTGGATTATCTGGTCTTTTTTACACCAGATCAGCCTAACTAGAAGCCAAAACAGGCCAGCTAACCATCGTAGGCTGGTTTAAGCAGGTTTATTTTTTTTCGGCAAGGAGCCGAGTGCTCGTTCCAGTTTAAACTCTTATGAGTTTCCATTTCAGTTAGGTTGCTGTAGAGAGAAAACAATTCACTGGGTTTTGAAAGAGTCACATTGTGCGTATGTAACATACATTACTCATCTCATGTAGCCGGGCAGAAAGGTCAGCAACTTGCTGCTTAACAAGCTTATGTTCGCTGCTTTCCTTCTCCAGCTTCTCTTTCATCTTATTGAGAGTTTGCATCATTTCTTCCTTCTCTTGGGCTTTTGCATCACACTCCCTTTCTTTCTTCTCCAGCTTCTGCTGAAGTTCATTATGTTCTACGATTCAAGCCAGAGAAAAAAAAAGTAAAAAGTTGAAATCAAAATGCACAAACGCTTCAGTATTTGACAACATCAGCAATGTCACCGCTGATTCCCATGCAGATGAAGGCACGTGTAAACACATTCAAGGCCTCCTGAGGGTAAACAGTCACTTAAATCAGTATTCGGCCCATAGAAGGGTCATGTACCTTTTCTCATTTTTTCCGCTTGCTCTTTCCATTGTTTCACCTCGTTCTCGTTTACCAACCTGTAAAATCAAACAAGAGAACAGTATTGGGCACTTCTGAATGGTAAAAGGGATAGTTCACATAAAAATTAAAATCCTGTCATCATTAAATCAAAAGGAGAAATTTGTGTTCCACACAAGGAAGTCAGGGTTTTTTCAACATGAGAGAGCAAAAGATCACAATTTTCATTTTTGGTCAACTATCATTTTCAATGTGTCCCTAAACCACAAAACTTGGCATTCATAATTCATAAAAAGCACAAAGATGACTTCATATTGGTCGGGTAGGACCAGCAGGAAACCAAGGAACTTTGGTGCGAAATGTTAAGCGATCAGAGATGCCCCTTAAAATGAGAGTCAAACTTCAGCTCTGTAACATTTGATCAAACCACCAAATGTTTTCCATATGCATTCTGCATATTTGTTTTTATTTGACTGAAACTGTCCCAGACCGTCTCTCAGCTTTCGACTTGTTTGAACTAGAGTGAAGTTGTGTCTCACTTTCTAATTAATCCCATGCAGAAAGATGACACAAAGATGTGTTTATTTTAACTCTTGTACCACCAACTTTTCAGTCTGTACACACAGTTCTGCGACTGTCATGTTCAATCATATTCTGGATAGGTCTTTGTTTATAAACATCAAGCAACAAAATCTGAGGTCTGGCTCTTTCCTAATATGTGATTAGATACAGGTGAATGGTTACTTGCTTAAAAATGACTTTGGGTCTGGATTATGGATTTGGGATTATATTTTTCTGAGCAAAATTACTTAAATCAAAAAATTATATGACAGGCCGTTTCGGAGAGTATTAAAACTCAGGATATTAATAAATGAGAAAAAATGAGGACACCAGGGCATAATTTAGTTAAATGTAATGACACATATCTCTCACTCACATTCGCACTACGTTCTTCACGTCGAAGTTCTCAAGGGGAGCCACATCTGGGTCATGACCCTTCTCGTTCTGCAGGACAATCTGCTGGACAATTCGGTCGAGGAGGAGCCAGTACTGCACAGTATTTCCATTTCTTTTGTCTGAGTAAAGAGAAGAGATGATGGTCAACACTTGCAAGCAGACTTCACAATGTTTATTATAGTGACTGATATAATGCATATATACTGTATACACTACCATTCAAAGTTTTGGGGTCTGTAAGAATTTTGTTTTATTATTGCTTTTGAAAGAAGTCTCTTACATTCACCAAAGCCGCATTTATTTGATCAAAAATACAGTAAAAACTGCAATATTGTGAAATATTATTACAATATAAAATAACTAACTTCTATTTTAGTACATTTTAAAATGCCATTTATTCTTGTGATGCCAAAGCTGAATTTTAGTGTCACATGATCCTTCAGAAATCATTCTAATATGCTGATTTGGTGCTCAAAAATATTTCTTATTTGTATCAATGCTGAAAACAAACAGTTCTGCTGCTTAATATCTCTGTGGTAACTGCTTTTTATTCAGGATTTATTTAAAATATAAATCTTTTGTATAAATGTCTTTACTGTCATCAATTTAAGGCATTCTGGCTGAATAAAAGTATAAATTCCTTAAAAAAAATAAGAAATAATACATTTTTTTATAAAAGATATCTTACTGACCCCAAACTTTTCGAATGGTAATGTACAATGTAATTTAATGCGGACTAAAATTCACTAAAAGCAATTACGTTTTCATTAAAAAAATGTCAAAACACATGGTTTTACTATAGGGCCATGTTCAAAATTATGTGCCATGGTATTATTTTGTATTTTTTAGTGGCACTCGTTATGATGTGGTAATATTATGATATGTCTGTTTGTTCACACTGTTGTGGCAGGGTCAGGGGAAGTGACATCACTCACAAGGCATATGAAGACAGTGCTGCAAGACGGATATAAAGTGTGGGAAGGCGTCCGTGTGGTTTATCCTCTTTCGGATGAGATCAAACACCTGAGTAGCACTTTTAGTGTCTATATGAACCTGAACCAAACAAAGAGACAATGAAATTACTATTGAAAAAAAGGGCCTGTATTTAGAGGCAAATTAAGACCGCAAGCGTACATTTTCAAACCGCTTAGCGAGGGCTAATTCATCTTCATTTCGTAGCATCTCAAAGAAGTCCAAATGCCTGAAGAGTAATAAAAGACGACTGCAGGTTAAGCTCAACAAAACCCAGCCAAGTACTTGAGGATGATGTGTCTCAAAATACAGCACTTACCGATCTAACGTGGAGTTTTCATGGGACCGTAATTTATCAATCACTGGTTGGATGCCCAGCATTAGAAATTCATACCGCAAATGAATTCTGAACTCCAAACTGGTCTGCAAATGAAACATTGGAAGTCATGGAGAAACTCTTGGATGATTTGAATCGAATGATATGCAGATGTAGAGAAAGTAGCGCTTACCTCCCCTGCTCCTTGACTGAGGACCGCGTTGATGAAGGACATGATTGCTGTCTTGAGGTTCACCTCATCTCTGTAGCGGCCCGTACTCTTGTCCAAGTTATTTAGAAGGGTCTGTGTGAAAACCGAGAAGATGGGGAGAAAGAATGAGAACAACAAAGGCGAAAGACCTCTTAATATTTCATTCATACGTCTCAATGGCCTTATTTGTGAAACAAAAGCAGAACGAATTTCTGTGTAAATCGCTGCATTCACTTCAAAGGAACAGTTTATGAACAACTGGTTTTATGAATGATTGATGTTTAAAGAATGAGGCCCACCAAGTCTCGAATTTTCCACCCACCTGAAATCGCGTCCGTTCGCAGGTGAACTTCTGATAGTGCAACATGGCTTCCAGAATTTTCTTGTGTCCTCCGGGCACCAAGCAAACAGCACCCATGATCTCCAGAACTGCCACTTTGGTCTTGATGTTCTCGGTGGCCAAGCTCTGAGCGATGATGTTGATGCTTTCTGAATGTGCGAGCACATGGGCACGTCCCTGAGAGTTGTTCATCAGGGCTTTAATGCAGCCGATCAGCGAGGTGTGGATCTGAGATTCGGTGGTCTCGTAGTCCATCGTTTTCAGGAAGTTCAAGATGCACGTCAGTCCATCGAGGTCTATGAAGCGTGTCACAAACCTAGAGGAGCACCACAAAGGTTAGGCCAAGCAGATGAAAACACATTATGACTCAGGTAGAAGAACACATGGAAAATTTAAACTTAATGTCCTGAATTTTAAGTGCAATTTCTGCTGTAGCTTCAGAGACGGTTGCATGAGAAAAGTTGCTGAGGCCTTTACCACCATGATGGAGGGCCAAGCAAAATTAAGTCGCTGGCCCTGTAAATGGTCTCTGGGGGACAGCGATACAAATTCTTAATCATTTTAGCAGCTGTCACAGTGCCTTTGAAAGCACATGTTATTTTACTAAACTTGGAATTAATCTAAATAATTCAATAAAATATGCTCAAAAGTTGTGCAAAATTAACATCTCTTGTACAAGCTTCTTTTAAATCTCAAATTTCAATTTTACTATTGGGATGACAAATCTTTTACATTTGTAGTGCTGAAGCATTTTCATGCAAATATGCTAATCACCAGAATCACCAGAAGTTAATTTAATATTTTGTGCGAAAACTGAAGAAGAAAAAAGGAAAAAAATAATTGAATAGTGAAGAAACAAAGAAATTATTGACTATTAATGAAAATTAATGTTTTTTCGATTTTTTTTCCTACTGATTTTGGTGTGATATCAGAATTTTTTGTGAGATGCACTTCATATTATTATGCAAAGAGCATAAACGAATCAGTCTCAGCACAACTGGAATAGACCAATAGATCTAATACTCTGCAAAGACAGAGTACTGTATACACTTAATGCAATTTAATGAAGCACTTAGTGAAAGAGAGATGCTCTATTTGCACACAGCCATGTGTAAGGCAATGTGCTTAATCAGAGTAATTAAAAAGAATTATACTGTCATAGAATGACCCATAGAGTGTGTGTATTTGTGTGTGTGTGTAAGGCAGTACCTCATTGGCTGTGTGCGGAGAGCAGTTTTCAAGCTCTCTATAGTCTTATTCCTCTCCTCCTCATCCTCCTTCTCTAGGGCCAGCAGGGACTTTCTCTGGTGGTGATATTTAACATGGAGGCAAATAATTAATGGACTGTCCAAAGTTTGCCAGGTAAGAGTTTTGTTAAATTATCTAATTGCATATAAACTGGAAAAAAAATCACCACAAAATTTTTTTAGCTGTAATACAAAAGGAAAAGTGTGCTATAACATGTGAATGAATTTATAGCTTCACCAATTATCTGAGAATCAGCACCCTTTGCGCTATGAAATATTTATAGTTGTTTACCACTCGATAAACACCTACATCCCCAACAACTTCCTTAAGGGCAACATATGGGAGTTTAATGACTCCCTCTTGACTAAGAGACTTTTATGTCCTCAGGGCAAAAACGGAAATGAGTGTGGTCAGGGAAGTGTTCATTATTTGCTGTCTAGTTTGTTAGTCATACTTACAGCAGCCATAGAATTGATCTGATCGATGTAGAATTCAGGCCAGCTGGTCGCCCCCTTATTCTCTTCCTGTTCCTATAAAAAACTAAAGATTAGCCTGGATACTGAAATCATACACACACATTTATATAAACAGATAGAAATTTTCGACCTTAAAAAAACAAAACAAAAATATAATCGAAAATGTTAGGCAAACACTAATTATTCTAAAACAATGATTATACAGCACAATATGTTTGGATAGATAGGTAAATAGACAGAATGGCAGATAGAATGATAGAAAGAACAAATGATGGAATGATAGATAGACAAAGAATGATACAGCAATAAATAGATAGAATGATAGAGAGAACAACAGAATGATAGATAGAACAATAGAACAATAGAACAATAGAACGATAGATAGATAGAACGACAGATAGATAGATAGATAGATAGATAGATAGATAGATAGATAGATCGACAGAATGATATAAGGACAGATAGATAGATAGATAGATAGATAGATAGATAGATAGACAGACAGGTATGTGAGTGGATGTTGAAGAGAAGGAATTAAAAAATAAGAAGGGTTTATAAAAGATATTTATAAATTATGAAGACATTTTTTTAGTTATAATAACAGGCAGATGAATCATACACAACAAGAAAGTTAATTGGGTGAATTCTGATTTGAAACTGCAAGCGTCTGACACACAAACGTCACTGTACTGTCCTCCACACCAACACAGATCTCTTTGTACTGCCAGGTTCTCAAGCACTTCCACAGCCACAATGTGTGAGAACATAGCTTATCTAACCACTGCGATTCCCACAAAATTGCATCCAACAATCCAAAAGCGCTTGTGAACTGATATATTTTATGTGTGTGAGTGTCCACAGCTGACACCTTGCTTGAGATGCTTCTTGTTACCTGAAAACAGACACAAGACACTGAGCTTCGGCACTACTCCACTCCTAATGTTGTGATAAACGCTCTGGCAGAGTGTTAAAAGGCTACAATTCAGTCCAAAACATGCCTTTTCCCAGAGTAACGGATTCTTTAAAGCTTTTAATGCAAAGCCTGGGGTTGGGAAACAATACCACAGTGTTTTGTGCTATGCTCAAGTGTCTATAATATAGCAGCTGCTTGCTCTTTCAGGCTAAGATTGACTTGTGCTGGCCAGGCTAAGTTTGGAATTGGGAATTGGGGTTGTTTTGGGGGGTTTCACGCACCACATGAGCCCATAAGCTTCCAGGAATCTTATTTAACAAGTCCACCCATTGTTTTATAACCACATTCTGCAATTATACAATTTAACTAAACTATTTTGGACCATAGGGGTTTAGAGATTAATAAAAGTATAGCTTGAAACCAAAACGCAGGATGAGAAAGATCTCATTATAGTTATTATTAACACAAATACTTCATACCAGACATGCACATGTACTTTGGCCTCAACATCTTGATGGTAGTTTTAAAACTCATTATATTGCACGGTGCTGGTTCCACATGTTGCTCAGACCCCAAAACTCCACTGGGAGGAGATTTGATTCAGGCCTTACAGGTGTAGTTGGCTGACACGCTGCATTCAGTGTTTTATGGAGCTGGGGATAATGTAGCATACTCGTTTTTCTGAGACAGGTTGGGTGTAAAATAAATACAAAAAAAAATAAAATAATACAGTGAAAGATATGGAAGTTTGTTTCCACCATGGAATAAAAAATAAAAAAGGTAATTGCCACTTTTTATCTCACAAATCTGACTCTCTTTTCTTTCACAAAACACATCTCACAAAATTAGGACTTTTCTTCTCAGAACTTTGAATTTATAACTCACAATTTAAAGTTATAAACTTGAGTTAACATCTTGCAATTCTTTTTTTTCTTCTCTGATTTGTGAGTTTACATCTCACAATTTCGAATTATACACTCACAATTGTAAGTTGTAAACTCAAAATTGTGAAAAACTCAAATCCGAGAATTTGGGCCACATTTGCCTGCAGTGTGAACGTAGCCTAACAAGACTTCAAATCTGATGAGTCTGTCTGTATTTTTTCGAGGGAACACAAAAGAACACATTTTGAAATCTGAATCCCACTGACTTTCACTCTATGACTAAAAATACTATTTATTTTTTTATATCTTATTTTGTGCTCCATGGAAGAACCAAAATCATACAGGTTTGGAGGGACATGAGGGTGAGTAAATGGTGCCAGAATATTAAATTTTTGATGTGAACTATCCCTTTAAGCCAGGCATAAACTTTAAAAATTTTAACTGAAATTCCATCTCTACCAGTGTATAAGCTTACAAAGCCTTGATCCATCACACAGAACATCAACATAAATGTTTGCTTTAATATATGAATGAGAATAAAGTTCATTCCTAACATCATAATGATTGACAGTATTATTTTTTAAGTGTTTTAGAGGACAATAGGTCAGCAGCTGAGGAGCGCTCCCTTGGTGGGTCGTGACCAGGTAACTGGTCATACACTCCAGCAGCTGTAGAGAAACCTCAGACCACTGCTGTGTGGTTTGCTCTTTAGTTCCACTGGCGTAAATACCTCCTATAAATGAGAGTTTACAGAGTGTGTCAGGGCAGCCTGGGTTCTGTTACCTCTCACTCCTCAGACCCAAATCACACGGACTGTTAAAATAAATACTTGCACTCAACACCACTTCTCTGTCCCAAAGCCAAGCCTGTGCTAGAGCAGCAGCGTTTACATTAGGTCCTTTTTTGGATGTACAGTACGACTGTTCATACATTTAGCTGTTCAGTTTCAAACTCCACGGTCAAGCCAGATGAAATATCTCCGCAGGAAACAGAGTTGTTTTAGGAAACTGCTATGCATGGTCAATGCCAGGCTATACGTTCAGGTCTTTCAGAAAATGGAAAAGGCATCTGTGATGGGAGTCCCTGCCCAGTCCCATCTAGTGTCAATTACTTACCATTTTCTTGCTACAGTAGATTTGCCATTTCTTCTCGGCAGGAAGGGCAAACATGGCCTCTCTATGTTTTTCTGTGAGATCCAGCTCATCCTGAGAAGGAGATGAGATGTTTTAAAATAATGCATACTTTGTAATTTCAAATCCAATTAACTCCAACACCAAAACAGTTGTAATTTGTCACATTCTAATACGGTTAAATAACTAGAATTTACACTTTAGGTTGCTTATTTGGAATATAATACAAATACAATATAAATACTAAAGACAGACAGATAGACAGATAGATAGATAGATAGATAGATAGATAGATAGACTGCATTGACTGCTCAAAAGAATATACATATATACAATATAATATACAATAATATTTGGTTTTGGCAGTAACACACACAGGCATCCTATCCAGTCAGTTATAAGGCTTGACGAAACCAACATGACTTAAATTCTGACATCAGCCTCTGGATATCACTGACCCTCAACCGGGGGTTAATTTCCCACAATTCTGTGTGAGATAGAGAGTCCTTGTTTCCTCACGGCAAAGAAAAGATTTAGTCATGTAAACCTTCAATTAATGCCTGTACACTCCTGTGACCTCCGTGCATTCCCATGATGCAGTTCTGGCCCGAGTTGGTCATATTCAGTCCAGATGTTCAGGCACAAGTTAATTAACATCATGTGAGAGACACATACGAGCAGGTCCCGAGACCATTTTAACAGGCTGCATAAGGAAATAATGAGGATAAAAGAATGAAAAATACAGGAAAATCGTATAATCCAACTCATAAGTACTCATGTATATTTGAGCAGAGATTCCAGAGAGAGAACATCACATCCAGACACCACATCTATTGCAGAAGCAGTCAGGTCAAAATCTGATCTTGTCCAGACTGTTCTCTCACAGTTTCTCCCTCTTTATGTCACTGCAGGAAAAACCTGAACCTGAGATTTTGTTCTGCTATCCCTCACACTCACTAAACGCCATTTAGATAGAGGCAGCTATCTTTCAACTTCATGATTAGGACTGCTTTCTCACCTCAAATCGACACATAATCAAAAGCATGCTAGAAGCATTTTCCTGTTAATTGATGTCTCAGTTGTGGCTCACTGTGAGTCCTCAAGACTCAGCAGGGGACAGGCTGCGTTTGGGACGTAGTCTGGAGCATGCAAGTCATCCATGAGCCCATCTGTGCCAAATGCCTGCTGGTCACGCGCTGGTGGGCATGAGACATACAGACGTTCTCCTACTCAATGGAGTCTGCAGAGCTAATGAGGGAACATGCATTGTCTAACACTCTTTACTGGACCATTAGCAGAGAATGCTTGGATTCCCCATATTAAGGAGTCCAAGACAAGCACTGATTCACTCCACAAATTGAGGAATGGTAGAGCAAAGCAGTGCTCAACTGAAGAACAAGCATTTTCTAACTATTCCGATGGGATTACTGTTGTGAATGAACCCACTTAACAGGCTCCATTTGTGATTTTTGGCCATGTGGGCTTGCGTGCTTATGAACTCTGTATGTTATGTCTTAGCAAAAAATGCAATGGTGAAAACTCATCACAGGATATAAACACAAGTGTTGTTTTAATAAGTTATCCTTAACATGCCTTTCAATATAATGTTTGACAAAACCAAAGACCAGATTTGACTTTCGAAGTATCTTGTGTCCAAATATCTACACTGTAACAAAAATCTATTTAAGTGAATGTGCTGCCTTAAAATTTTAAGTTTAGCCAACTTGAAATGTTAAGATGTACTAAGTGACAACTTGGATATTTGAGTTGACTAAACTTAAAACACTTATATTTTTAAGTTGAAACAACTATTCATTTTACAGTTCTTTAATTAAGACTACAATGAGTGCTTTATATACCCATCCATCTACCCACCTACCAATCAGCCTAACCTTCCATCCATCTGTCCATCTATTTATATACCTACCTAGTACCTACCCATCCATCTACCTATCTATTTATCCATATACCTATCTTTCCATTTATCCATCCATCCATTTATCATCCATCCTTCTAACCATCTACATACCCAACCATCCATTTATATAACTACCCATCCATCTTCCTATCTATTCATCCATCCATCCATCCATCTTTCCATCCATCCTTCTAACATTTTCATACCCATCCATTCATCCGTCTGTTTAATCATCTACCTACGCACCAATCTATTACATTTACCTACATTTTCTTCTACATATCTATCTACATATCCATCCATTTACCTATCTATCCATCCATCATCTACCTGCCCACTCAGCTATCAATCTACAGTAACTACCCATCCATCCATCCATCTACCTACCCGTCCATCCTTTGGTTAAGATTTTGGGAAATAAATAAAACAAAAGAAAGAGTATGGCGGTCATGGTACAAAACATACCACCAGTTCAGTGAACATGGCATCCAGTTCCTCGGTGGGGGGCATGGGCAGGGTGGGCTCCATGGTTTGCAGTGTGAAGTTGCTGTCATGACGGAGGCGGTAGGTGATCTCGGGATGGTCGCTCTTCTTTAGACAGCAACAGAGGAATGACAGGCCCCGCCCTCCTCGCTTACGTGGGGCCATCATAGCCAGAGGCCCAGCCAGTCAAATGTGTCTCGCTTTAGCTAAGACCCCCTGTGCAAGAGAAAACAAAAATTTAGGATGAGAAAAAAACAAGACAATTAGGATGTGTGACATCGAAGCTACAAATAATAAAAAATAGACACTGTTAATAATTTCTTAGTTCAGTGAAAATGTGGATGGTTATGCTGGGACAGAGCTCAACGCAAAACAACATGACAACACAACTGAAAATCATACCGCCACCCAGGGCTATTTGCAGCCATATGTCACATGAGATGTGTGATGTATTCAAACTAAAATGTTAATGTATTAAGTACACTCCTGACTAACAGGTTACATTGGACCTCCCACTGAAGACCAGTAGCAATATGCAAAGTATCTGTACTGGTGCATAAAATCTCCCAGAAATGAATCACAATCAAGGCTAATATTATACTTTGCACAGTTACACTAGCACTCATAAGTTTGGGTTCATTCATTTTTTTAAAGAAATAAATACCTTTATTCAGCAAGGATGCATTACATTAATTAAAAAAACAACAGTAAAAACGTTTACACTGTTACAAATGAAAATTTCAAATAAAGTGACACTAAAGAGTAATTCCTACTGCAAATTCAGCTTTGCCATCACAGGAATAAAATACATTTTACAATATATATGTAGAAAAAAGTTATTTTAAATTGTAGTAAAATTTCACAAGATTATTGTTTTTACTGTATATTTCAAATAACTGCAGCCTTAGTAAGGATAAGAAATTATTCTTAAAAAATTTAGAAATCTTAACGTCCCCATATTTACTACAAAAAATGAGAAGTGGGATTGTCAATGTGTGTTTGTGCAGTAAGACTCATAATGCCAGCACTGTATGATCTTATAACCCATTACAACACTCGCATAAGCCTCATAAACTCCAGCAGTACACAGCAGCATGAGTCAACATGCAAAGCGTCATGTAGACAGATAAAACAGCTATAAAAGCAATGAGCTATCACATTATACTATTAGGTTCTTTTATATGTGAATCACTTTACAGAGAGAAAACAAAACCTTGTTCACAATGTGCATTACGAGTAATATCATTCAATTAAGTGGATCTGTATATATACAAGTGAAAGCAACTGCAAAGGAATATTGCATTTTAATAGTGGAAAAACAGAGATGCTCTTCACAAGGACTAAGCCATACTGCTAAGGCAACAAAATTAGTAAAATCTAATATCAGAACCTAATGAACTTTTCTTTTTACTCTCAAGAGTAAACAGTTGTTTTTACAAAAACCAAAGGGTGGTGGTGTAGTATGAAAAGATCTAGGATGGGAACCAAAGGTTGTTCGTTTAAACACCAAAAAGGCCAATCCATGAGCTATAACCAATGTGAAAGAAGAAAGTTAAAAATGCTCAAACAGTTCCTTTACATGCAGTGAAACCAAATTAATCAAGGCATGAGAAGCTCCAAAAAGCACCATAAAGGTAATGCAGCACTGCAGGTCTTGTAAAGCCATATGATAGCTATGAAGAACAGACCACAGTGTGAAATTTGAGCTTCTGCACAACAAGATATATGGTATGTTCTTCACACAAAGCTATTGTACGGCATAAGAAGACTTGAAATATAGTGCATGAACCACCTTTATGGTGTTTTTAAAAATCCTTTCTGGACTGAATTAACTTTTTCAAAACTGATGTGGAACAACATAAGGTTGAGCAAATGATAACTAAATTTAAATAGTTTTGCATGAAAAAAAAAAACAGGGTACTCCAAGGGACTGCCCTTGTAATCGGTTTCTCTTCATAATAAAAGTGTCTGCCAAATGACTACTTATTACTCAGCCACAACATCACTTTGTTTGATCTACATCCCCAGATGTCCAAGATTTCTTAATTTCTTTATCCTCAGACCTCACACAATGGAACTGGCCCTGACCTCTCAAAAGACTGAACCGTGTTCATCTCCCCTTTCTCCATATTAGGAATAACGGAGAAAGTTACCATGTCCAACTTTATCTTCATCCAGTTCTGTTTTAATGAGTACACCAGCCTGAGCTCCAGTGCTAAGGCCATCACGACACAGAAGAAGTCAAACATAAACTTCACTCTGAATTTACGATCAGACCCAGGAGCTCAAAGTGACCAGATGTTTCCCTTTAGAAGAACAGGGACATAGAGGTTTAAATGGCTTGAGGATTAGGCTGGAGTTTATAGTACGTGTGTTTGTGTAAAATGTGCTCAGTGTACTTGACCCTGCAGAGCAGGTTTATAGTGCCATCATACCCAAACACAGACTTAAACAGTGATGCACAACATGATCTGACCTCTGAATGTTCGTCTGCAGCTCATCTGAGAAAAGAAAATGATTCCATCAATTTAAAGTTACACTTTGTTTACTTTGGAATTATACAACAATCAGAATCAAAATATAAAATTTTATTTTTGGAGGCTTTTGTCTCTTTTATTTAGAAGACAATGGAGAACTGGCAGGAAATTATGAGGATAAAGAATAGATGGATAAAAAAAAAAAGACCTGAGCTGGACTCAAACTCATTTTAAACAAATTTAAATTAAACACTAAATTAAATTAAACACTAAACACAAAACGAATGAAACTAAATACATACAAAAACTATTTATCGAACTGAATTTAACATAATAATACACAACAGTATTGAACTGCATGCTTATTTACAAAACAAATGCAATGTCACACAAGGAGTCTGTGAACACTTTGATAATTCAAATGAATCAGTTTTTTTTTTATTTCTTTTGAACTGGTTCTTTGAGAGGAATCTTCAGAATGATTTGCTAAAAATCAAATGAGCCTTCCAGTACTTTGCAATCAAGAAAGGATATTCTATGTGAGTGATTATTGGCTTATTAGGATATAAGGTTGCATGCACAGTATGCATTAAAAACAGTTTTGTCAGCATTTTGTTGGACTATACCACATCTGATTGAAGAAAGCAGCTAGATACCGGAAAAGCTACAGTAGAAAACATCTGAGAAACTGTCACACTACCGAAAAATGTAGTTAAATTAGTATGGATTAGGGCTGCACAATTAATCGAATTTCTAATCGCGATTACAATTATGGATGCCACAGTTACGTAATCGTTCAAAGTGGCAATTAATCGTTCAAAGACCACTTATGTTATTCTGCGTGCTTAAGATGCGTTTTTTTCTTTCTACATGTTATCTTAAGGGTTTTTCCCATTATTTTAGTTTTAGTTTTAGTATAACATTATAATACCATTCATATTTTTACTTTTTTATAATTTAAAGAAGAAACCAATCCGATGTATAGTTGACATTTGAGGCTTAATCCTATAGAAAAGGTTTTTCAGTTAGAGTGTTTTCAGTTTGTTTATTTTCATATAAACATACGGCATGCAGTTGCATCAAACAATGGTATAAACATCATTCAATGTAAATTGTGATAATCGTAATTAATAATCGCAATTACAATTTCAAGGGACTAATCGACAATTATGATTTTTGTCATAATCGTGCAGCCCTAGTATGGATGCAACTTTTAGTTTAGTTAACCTTCAACTCTTTTCTCAAGGAAAGTAAACTCATTCAGTTCAAACAAGATTCAAATGTAGAACTATGACTCACATCCAGATGAGAAAGAGAAAAAAGAAAGGAAGGAAGGAAACAGAGAAGGAAGACGAAGAGAAAGCAAAATTGCAGAGGAAACTCTTCTGTGTTTTTTCTGAGCGCTGAAACGAATGATTCACTCGGCCATGTCAACAATCTGGATGTTCACACTAACACGGCCTTGTGTGATTTTTTTTCCCAACGCGGAAGAGATTCTGGACTCTCACACTGTAACTATTTAGCAGCGATAACCCAGCAGAGCAGACACAGCTGTTCTCCTGAGTGAGGCTGGGAATTTTCTCACCGCTGGGTTTATATCATGGTGTGAAAATAGCTCCGGCCTGGCTAGCTGGTCCAGCGATCAGTGGGCAGAGACCACACACTTCACACCATAAGAATGGATTCCATGTCTATTATTAGATCAACTTAAACAGAAGACAACATGAACTGCATTTTGGTTTGTTATAGGTTGCTCTTTTTTGAATTTGTACCATAAAAGCAGGCTTTGAGAATGAAGAAGTTCTCAGCAATATTACATTTATTCATTTAGCAATTAGCAGATGAGTGTATTTCACTAAAACATGGCCAGGTCACATTCCAGATCTTTTTTTATTTATTTTTGTAATATTTTTGTGAATTTTTTTCAAGTGAATAATGCAAGTGCACGGTATGCCAGTAAATCATTCACAAGCGGAAGATTTTAATCGATGTCCTTGTTCACAAGGTCTGATCCAAACTATGACCCACAAACATCGCTGAGCAAATATTCTCCTCCTTTATTCAAACCGCATACAATGCAGGAGCTTATCTGACAAATGTCAAAATAAAAACGGGTAATCCAAATCCACATCTTGTCCAAACGAATCACTGGGATCGCCTGGGAGTTAAATAATCTTTACATCCTGGGAAACCCCTGAAATGTAAACATCTTTTAAAAAGACTAGCACAGTTATTATTACAAAACCAACAAATGTGTGAATGGGTAAAAAAACGACAGTCTGCTCCTCATCTTTCAGTTCATGTGCTCATGGGATACCACAGTCTGTACCGAGACAGGTGACTAAAATATTTACAACTAAAATAGTAAAAGAATCAGCAGCTAGCCTAAATGAAAGCAAACATGTGCTATGAACTGAGCTTAACATTTTATCCCTAATAAAAAATGACATCTTTCCCGAAGCCCAAATGAAATAAGAGTCTCGCTGTGCTTGTAAAACACATAAAACAGCCAGTTTGTTTATGTATAAGCTTGTCTTTTCTGAATGGACATCTGTTAACTGAAAAAAAGCATGTTCAACAAATTCTGACCACTACAGCTCTGCCTTTGTTCAAGTCAATTTAATTTGACATGCATCCTTGAGAGTGTTGTTGTTAACTACAACTAAAACCATTAATAAAACGTTTTTGTTAATTGAAAAAAAGCTGAAATCAAATATAAAGATGAAAAACTTACATTTAAAAACTTTAACTTGGCAACTAACTAAAATAAGTAGAAGTAGAAGCACTAAAATTGCTAAAACAAATAAAATATTACAGTTATATACAGTAGAAATTATAAAAAATATCACAAAAGCACGTAAAATGACAAAATCTTACACTAAAATGAAAATGAAAACTAAAAATATAAAAATAAAAGCTTATTTAAAATATTCATAAATACTAACTATAATAGCATATAAAAAATACCAAAATAACACTGTCCTTGAAAATAGTTAACGCACACTCACAGCATTAAGTACTAATCCAAATTCTGCAAACCTTGTACTGTCTCTATTAGAGGTCAGTCCCAGGAGACTAAAATCAAGGTCTACCCATGACAAGACTGATATTTTGCTACAAAAAACATGCACACAAGGGTTATATGTGTATACAGAGTACAAAAAGGAATACTGACAAAAAGCACATTGAAGAAAAGTGGGAGGGAACACCTGAAGGAAGGTAAATCTCAGGTAATGTGCATGTCTGTGCAGCAACTGCCATGAAAATGCCTCCATAACACTCTTGTCTCATGAAATATCTCTCTGTGTCATACACCAGTGGAGTTAATCCAGGAGAGCCCAACTCACGTATCACCGTGCTCCACCCAGATGGCCAGGCCTCTTTATGTAAGCAAAGTTCAATCTTTATGAACGGCAGTATTGATCCTGTGCCAGGAAGCAATTCCCATTCATGCTGGATCATAAGTCAGTGCATTATGGTAGGATGAACATACGTCCTCTTTTCCCCGGACATGTCCTCTTTTTTGGCCTAAAAAAATTTGTCTGGCTGGGATTTCTAAATCACCCAAAATGTCCGGGATTCTGCTTTTGCTTTCTACAGTTGCCATTCGTTGTGTGCGTTTTTGTATTAAAGCCCTGAGTGGGCTTCTTTCTGTTTTCATAATCCCCCTTCCAATTTCTGACCATTACTGCCTGCTCTCATTACTTTATATTCAATACATTCTAATATTGAATATAATTTTTGCGCATGAGGGAGCCGCTATCAATATGCTTAAACCGCATAAACACATTTCATTGCACCAAATACACAAAATAATGTTCTTTTTAGCAACATCATATGACCCCTTTAAGTCACTTTGGTTGCAGCTCATGTTGGATGCAGGGCTGCCAAATCAAAACATTTTTTGCACGGAATCGGGCTGATTTTAAACTATTGCGGAGGGTTGAATTTCTCCCGTTGGTTAAAGGTTTGAAATATTGCATAAATTAAGTTTTGTGAAGGATGCTGGTAGAAAGCCTTAGCTGTGTTTATGATCAATCTGCATACGGTGACTGTAAAATGTATTATAGGTATGGAAATGACATATTTTGAGTTTTGATATTTGGGATATGGTCATTGTGCTAACCCCTCCGAAATTTCTACTTTCAAATAAACCAATTCAAATGGAAAACAAATATTCTCAGATTATGTAATCCGTATGAAACATGCATACAGGCGCGTCCACTACTGCAGAGATGACGCGTCAGTGTCGCCGACTTCATCTCTTAAACCGAAAACAAAGAAAGCACTAGTTTATCAATGAATTATTAAAATGATAATGCAGTCTCCTTGCTGTTTTTCCCTGACACATTCGTAATCATTACTTCTGCTGGTGCTGTGGCAAGCTTTATGCGTGCGCGTAAACACTTATTAGGCTATGTTGGCAATTAAACTCTCATTATTATGGTTTCAATTGTTTATTAATAAACGTGCGATTAGTCGACTAATGCTTCAAATGAACGACTACTAGTTGACCAGACACATTTTTAGACGAGGGCAGCCCTACTCAGAAAAGTTATGTTGTTTCTAAGGAAAGCGCTAGCAGCATTTGTTTGTAGATGCCACTTGGTTTGACACTTGATATCTGATGCAATGACATCCAGACATTTTAAATCGGATTTCACTGTTCAAAAGTGACCTTTTGGGGCCACTGTACAATTTATATTTCTCTGAAAAGCATTTTGGCATGTTGTGAGCATCTGCAGAGCTGCATGCGGCTTATCTACCAACAGTCATTCAAATCAGGACATCTGGTGACTAGAACTTGAACAATAGCAGGATGTTAATTGTTTTTATACGCTCTGACAGAAGGGTTTGATTTGCCTTAAAGAGCTGTAAAATGAAAGTTCTTATTATCCTCAATCCACATACAGATCTTAGGAGAAATTAGCAAACCAACATTTTTGCCAGTCTTGCACTAAATATTGGTAATTGTAGTCATGAAGTTCATGAACACTTCCACCGCTTCAGTTCACAGAGCGCTTTTTCTTCAGTTGCCGATAACATGTCTTTCTAGGTTGTTGTTGGTTTTCACTGCAAAATATCAGTCAATCGCCAATGGAATGAACAAATCTGACATGCATAGCTTGCAAACAAAGCATTCTAAAGATTATTAAAATAATATGTGCATTCTTCAAATACAGTACATGGAAAGACAAGTGTGCCTGTTTCAGCTTTGTGTTGAAGAGTTGTGATCGCTTTCATTAACAGTCTCACCACATGTAGGCACTGTCTAAAGAGTTTGGGCGGTTGGATTTGTAAAAGAGAGGGTTCTCAAAGAGGCACACAACTCAAGTGATGTCATGGGAAATGTACTGCTCATGGGCAATTTGCCTTTTCTTTATTTGCTGGTGCAACGGTTGTAACAGGAACAAGATATTTGAATATGTAGTCTTAAAATAATTTTAAATTGTGTAAATTTTAAATGTCAATAACTGTAAATAAATTTTTTTTTTTTTACTACACTGCTACAAGGCCTTCTGGGTAGTTTTATTTAACTCAACTATTGTGTAAAAATTATTAACTATGGTTGGCTTAAAATGAACCCAAAATAGGTTGTAAATTAAAAATTAGACACATAATTACTAAAGGCATCAGCACTAATCAAAAGGTGAACATTTATTAATAAGCAATTTAAAAAATGTTTATTATTTAGTATTATTCAACTTACTAATAAATGTTCCTTTCCAACCTATTTTGGGTTCATTTTAAGCAAGAAATATAGTAATTTTAAGCAACAGTTGAGTTAAATAAAACTACCCAGAAGGTTGGGTTAAAAAATTAACTGCTGGGTCAAAACAAGCCAATCGTTGGGTTTGTCCATATTTCACCCAGCGCTGGGTTATTTTTAATTATTAAAATAACTATTTTTAGTTATTTTGTTCTTTAGCACCAAATCAGCATTTCTGTAGGATCATGACACTGAAGACTGGAGTAATGGCTGCTGAAATTAAGCCTTGCAATCAGAGAAATAAAAAACATTTTAACACATATTAGAATAGATATTTTAAATTGTATTAATATGGCACAATATTACAACCCCAAACTTTTGAACAGTGCATACACTAATGTTGTTCGCAAATAGCACAGTGAAGGCCTTCAAAGACAGTCTAAAGATACTGTGTCTTTAAACCAAACCAACACTAATGCACACATCCCAGAGCAAACATCACTCAAGCATTGGAGCTCCATAATAACATAATTGCACAGCAATTGTGTGGACAGATGAAGCAGGACTTTGAGGTCCCATGATGTAGCCAGCAGTCATATCTCTTCCAGGATATGACCTAAAGAGCTCTTTCTCTGGGGAAGACAACAGCACTTCAACACCAGACTATCTCAACAGACCTCACTGAATAATCTAATGAGCGTGTGGCTGTTAGTCTGTCTTACCTTATTTCCTGTGTGACATTTTCTCCCCCAGTGCCATCAATTTTGTGCCCGTGTCATCTGCGTGGAAAAAAAATCCATCATCATCATCAGTGCTCTGATATCAAATGCAGTCATGAAACTAACACTAAACCAACAGCTCCACAGGCTTGCGACATCGTCTGTAATTTTCTGCCTCTCTCATTAAAAGCTAATCCATAACTCTGGAAGCCTTGATTGGTGGGCCTGCAGAAGAGCGAATGGGTTTCCATTTTAGAGTTTACATAATGGAGGTCATCCAGTGCAGCTCTCAGGCCAGTCTAGGATCAACAAGAAAACAAACTCTGGCCTTTGGTCTGTCATCCAGCAGTCACAAACCAATGTTCCTAATGGCAAGTTACAGTATTGATCCCTGCCGAACTAATCAAAGTGATGTTAAGGCTGTTATTGACATGTGCAACCACGAGATTCATCCGGCATCCAAGTAATTGCATTACATGTAACAACAAAATGAAATATATGAAACAATGAAATAAAACAAGAAGCAAGAAAACAAAAGAAAACAGTAAAGGAAGATTTTTGCGAACACAAATGAAAAAAAGTCATTAAATGTCATAAAACTTAACATGTGCATGCGCGTGTGCGTGTGTGTGTGCGTTTGATTTTGATCTGATAAATTACAAAATATATTTCATACCGATTTCTTAAGTTAAATTAAGATCAAATGCCTAAATTAACACATTCATAAATGATTTTCATAAAATTCATATTTATTCATTTAAATCAATTTAAAATTAAATCAAATTCAATAAAACATAAAACTAATGTAACTGTTTGTTGTGTAGCAGTTTACATATATTTTGTTGTATTTTTCATGGATTTACAAAACAAATTTTAAAAAATTATTAAATAAATACTACCCCTTCAAATGTATACATTTTGTATATTCAGATTTAATTATTATGGAAGTTTTAACAGAGAAAGAGATTAAAGCCTCGTGCACACCGGGACGATTTTTGCGCGCGCATATCGCCAGCGTTTTTCGATGCGTCTTGTGTGTTCATACCCAAGCGATTTTCACTGGCAATGAGCCGAGTGAACATGCAAATTCATTCCCTGACATTAGATGGCGCTGAATGAAGCAAATGGCTGCAATATAACAAAGAGTGAAAAATTTAAGGGGGTCTGAATACTTTCCGTACCCACTGTATGTCAGATATATAGTAAGCTTGTTGTGTATCCCGGATGCCGCATAGCCACATTTAAGATCAACTGGACTATATGTGTAAACAAAAATATCAGGACAGTAGCAAGGGTGTCCCACAGGGTTCACAGACCACACCCCTCGGGGGATCCGAGCACTTAGACAAAACAAGAAAGGCAACTAGAAAGGGAAGATGCAAAAATGTTGTCCATCAGGCAGACGAGTCGAATAGTTTTTAAAACACAGACCCCTGACCCACATTAACTTCATTCCAAAGCCACATTTAAGCCCGATTCCCCCGAGTCAGACTCCTCCAGAGTCCAGAGAACCAGTATTATCCAGCATACACACACTGTCTGCTGTTGCCAGGCGTGTTTGTGATTCGGCAGCCTGCATTACATGTGCTTATCCCGTGGCTTCAATACTGGGGATTGCAGTCGAGCTGAGTATATAATGACTTTACCCAAGTTTAACTGGGATTGGACAAGCAAACACCAAATCACGCATGCTGATACAGGTTATTAATTATTACTGGAGGGTCATCAACAGGTATCGGCGGTTATCGGGAAGTAAACCACCATCCAAATGTCACCATGGTGGTAATCACAATGCAGCACACTACTGAAAAAGACAAAGATACTATCGTACACTCTTAAAAGTAAAGGTCCCAAACAAGGGTTTTTACAGAACTATTCTGGGTTTCCACAAGGACAGTTCTTAAAATAACGATTTTTTCTTAATGTCAAGAAGATTTGAATAATCTAAAGAGCCTTTTTCCACTATAAAGAACCTGTTGTCCAATGGAATGCTAAAGGTTGCTCATGCACTCCTAAAAATAAACATTCTTTATTAGAATTTATGGTTCAGACCCTTTAACATCAATAGAAAGTTCCATTTAGCAAAAGGTTCTTTATAATGGAAAAATGTTCTTAAGAGTTTTAAAATGTTCTTTACATTTTTAAAAAATGGCTCTTTTATGAACGGTTAACTGAAAGGTTTAGTGGGGAAGCAAAATTGGTTATTCTTAGCTCCAAAAGGTTTTTTTTTTTTTTGCAGTGATGCCATTGAAGAACCATTTTTGGTCCCCCAAAGAACCTTTCAGTTGACAGTTCATAAAAGAACCCTTTTTTAGTGTTAATAAAATTTTAACAATCTAAAGAATCCCTAATAAAGAACCTCTAATGGTTTCATAGATGTTAAAGGTTCTTCATGGAACCATCAATGCCAAAAAAAGAACCTTTATTTTTAAGAACGCATGGCATCGCTGTGAAAACCACCTTTTGAAAACTTTATTTTTAAGAGTGTCAAATCAAACATGCCAATAAAAAAAAACTTTATTTTTAAGAGTGTAGTATTGTATGAGGGGCCGTATAGGCTATAATTATTGAAAAGCCTCTTACAAACACTAGTGAAATGAAAAACATTGATAAACCTTAGTGAAATTCATTTATACGCATTACTGAAAACCTCTTACATACACTAGTGAAAACACTGATCAACCTTAGTGAAATACATTCATATGCATAACTGAAAAACCTCTTACAAACACTAGTGAAAACATTGATCA